TATTTTTATTTATTTTTATTAATTGTCTTAGTTGTGCTGCAGCAAAAGAGGGCAGCAGCAGCTGCTGCTGCCCACTATAATGTCTTAATACATATGCAGATAATAATTCATACAATACTGCCTCTGATGGTACACTGCAGCAGCAGCAAGGTATACCATTGCTGCTGCTGCTGCTGCTGTTGCTGCTGCTGTTGCTGCTGTTGTTGCTGCCTTGTTGCGGCGTTGATCCGGTTCCTGTAGCTGTTGTACCGGTACCAGAAGATCCTGCTCCTGCTGCTGCTGCTGCTGCTGCAGCAGCAGCAGCAGCAGGAATAGGTAAAGAATCCTTAACTGCTTCTGCCCATTGCTGCTGCAGCAATTGTATAGATTTAGATGTAGCAGCAGCAACAGAAGGAGGGAGGGCCCTATCTACACAAGAAAGAAAGGAGGAACGTAAGGCAATTATCCGCTGCTGCAGCGGCTGCTGCTGCAGCAGCTGCTGCAGCAGCAAAGGATGCGTATCTGTAGATAATAAGAGTTGCTTAAGGTGACGAAAAGAAGCAAGACATTTCCTTAGCTCCGTAGATAAATCTCCTCCTCCTGCTGCTGCTGCTGCTGCTGTTCCTGCTGCTGCTGGTGCTGGTGGTGCTGCTGCAGCAGATGCGGCACCCGAAGGGTCAACCCCTCCTGCTGCTGCTGCTGCAGCTGCTGCAGCAGCAGCACACATGATGAGTTGCTGCTGCTCTAATGACACACGGGATGCAGCATGTTGCTGCTTTGATGAATACCAGCAGCAACAGCAACGTCTGCTGCTCCTACTACTAGTCTGCTGCTGCTGCTGCAGCTGCTGCTGCTGCTGCTGTTGTTGTTGCTGCTGCAGCACGCGCAGCAGCTAGCTGCAGCAAGTCCCTATTTATAAAGAACCTTTAGCTATAAATAAGCATTTGAGGTGTACGTACACCTCAACTTCAGCAGCAAGCCGCAGCAGCAACCTCTTTCGTCTGTGTCTGTCTGTGCTGCTGCTGCAGCTGCTGCAGCTGCAGCAGCAGAGAAAAGTTTAGCTAAAATAAATATAATTAATTAAATAAAATAAAGGAAAAGTTTGCTATTATTAATACAAAAATGCTAAGAAATTTTGCTGCTATTTGCATGCAAACAGCAGCAGCACTGCAACACAGCCCCACCTCTGCATGCACGCATGCATGCAACCTATATCGGGGCTTGCGCTGTAGCAGCAGGAACAGCAGCAGCAACAGCAGCTAACCTCTTTCTTGTGGGGTTTATACCCTATATATTAACCCCCTTGCTGCTGCTGCAGCACACCACTACTGTGCAAGGGATACTGCTGCTGCTGCAGCTAGTTCCTGCTGCAGCTAGTTCCTGCTGCAGCTATTTCCTGCTGCAGCTAGTTCCTGGTGCAGCTAGTTCCTGCTGCTGGTAGTTCCTGGTGCTGCTAGTTCCTGCTGCATCTAGTTCCTGCTGCTGCTAGTTCCTGCTGCTGCTAGTTCCTGCTGCTGCTAGTTCCTGCTGCATCTAGTTCCTGCTGCTGCTAGTTCCTGCTGCTGCTAGTTCCTGCTGCTGCTAGTTCCTGCTGCTCATAGTGCTGCAGTTGCTGCTGTTACTGGATACATATATTAATAAAAGAATAAACATATACAAATATACATATACAAATACATATAATATATTATATATACAATATACGTGTATATATATATATATATATATATATATATATATAT